TCCAGTCAGATCCAAGGTCTCATGAAGGCAAAGTCCACGGTAGACCTTCAGAAGGAAACCTCACAGGATCTCATGCTGGACAATTGGGCCATCATTTTGGGCCCATTATGAATTTGGCAGCACACCCTCCCTGGATTGCTTATGCAGGCCCAATCTTACTTTTTTCTTTTTTAATTCCTTTCTTATTATTTTTTAATTATGTCTTTTTGCAAATAACACTAAAAATCATATTTTTTATTTAATAAAAAATCATAAAAAACACCAAAATCTATTTTTCATAACAAATATTTTATTAATTAATTAGTTTAATTAAATTTAGGCAATTTAATTCTCTTTTTATTATAATTTAGAATAATTAGAATTAGGGTATAATTTTGTACATAACTTAATTTTTTTTCCTAAAAAACAACATAAATATTTTCTCAAATTAGATTTTTAGGTTGTCCAATTATTTCTCGCATTTAATTTTCCGTGTGTTTTTAATTTTCCTTTTTATTATTATTTGTAATTGCTCCGAGTTTGTAATAGATTTAAGTAGGGTTTTAATTCCGCATTTTATTTTTAGTCAAAAATAAATTATGTATCTGCCCAAAGCCTTGTAATAATTAGGACTCTAACTTCTCGCATTTTTATTTCCGCAAACTATAAACTGCTTAGATGTATGTATAGGATTGTATGGAAAGACAAGTTAAAATTAAAACAGTAGAAAACTCTAATTGTGCAAAGATAATTAACTGAAAAAAATACACTTGCACATGCTCACTCCTAGGGTATACTCCACTCTGGTTGCCTTCGGTAAACGGTCATAAAGTATAGAGAATGTTAGTGGTCGTCCTCTAGTCCCAAAATATCTAAAATGACCCATTCGGATGTTGCCTCGGAAAAAGATCTTTAAGACTTTAGGACGATTACTAAAATTTCCTAACATTGCTTTTGTGATCGTATTTGTCCTTTCAAACATCCCTTAAAACTCCAACGTCGGTGCTACCTATTCCTTAATAATAGGATAGCGTTGTCTAAAGGAAAACGAACAGACTTTTTTCGAGTAGGTAGATTAGTTCCTAGGTACTTGCTCAAACAAAAATTTTCACACAAACAATTTTCAAAACAATTTTCAAAACAACTTCATCACACTCTTGAGGACTGATACAAGGGTTATCACGAAGTAAAAAAAAATTCAAAACAAGCACGCACAAGCAATTTTACAAATGAGCAAAGTACCTAAGAGCCCATGGAAAACCATGGATAGAAAGGGTGCTAACACCTTCCCTTTCTATAATCTACCCTCCGTACTCAGAATCATCTCGAAAAAGGTTTTTCTGTTCTTTTTCCCTTTTCCTTTGTTGGATAAAATAAAAGTTGGTGGCGACTCTTGCTTATCGCATATTTGTGAATACAAAACGCAAACCAATATTAACAGTCGGTTCTGTCACCGTATCACAGGCAGCATAGTATGGGTTATTTTGTAGAAGTTTTGGAGTGGAGTGGCAGGTTGGTGCAGGGATGGATTTGTACAGGACATTAGATTGTTTTTTGACATGGTTTTGGGTTAGTAGAAGCAGGCTTGGACTTGGCAGCATATCTGATTTTGGGGCTTTTCTGGACAGCAACATTTGTATCATGATAGAAGTCTGATTTTGTGGACAGATTTTTGCAGCTTGTAACAAAGACAAGGCATATTTGTGGACATCATAGTGGCAAAGTTTTGAAGATTGAGACAAAGGGAAAAGTTCAAACAAGACAAAGCCTAGGATTTGTAACTTGCAATTTTTTTAAACTTAAAAATGCAGCCTTGTTGTTTATTTGAAAACTTGTAACAACTTTAACTATCTTGAATTGTGGTGCAAAGATATCATGAAGTAATGAAATTAACACATATGAAAAAACAGAAAAATCTCTAAATCTTGCAAAGTTTGACTTTTCAAAATGACTTTTGACTTTCTTGATTTCTTGATGATCAAATTTCATATTTTTGAATGTCTTGGTGAAATGTGATCTTTGAAACTAAAATTTGATCAAAAAGTCAAAGTTTGACTTTTCAGTGTACAATTGACTTTTTTCTAATACAGTTGATTTCAGACCATCTGACCAATTGACTGAGCAATTTTGTGATCCAAGACTTGAAACTTGACAGGAGCAATCTTGAGGGTCCATAATGATCCATGAAAGTCATTTGAAATATTAGAAGTCTAATTGTCCTTGTGTAAAACTCAAATCCTATTTTGAGGCATCAGTGTTAAGGAGATGACTTGACCTAGTCGATACTTGTGCAAGCTTTGAATTATTGAAGATCTTTGTGAGAAGTATCTTGAGAAAAGGGAGGGCAAATTTTTGGATACAACAATAAGTATTTGAATAGGGATTATTCTGCTTCAAGAACTTTATATCCTCAATTTGCTGTGGATTTGCAAAACAATGTATAGTATTGTGTGGTCCATTACAAATTTCACAATAACATTTTGTGTCTGTTGGACTTGAGCCACCTGTCGAGTACCTATATTCATTACTTTCAGCTTTTCTCCTCCTCTGCAGCAACTATTTCTTTAATTTTGATCTGTTTGTTGGCTTCCAACTTTAAATCAATTAATCCCTCTGGTATACTTGTAACCATGTCATATAGCTCTGAATGCTCATTTGCAGCAACTGCTTCAATTATCTTTTTGATACCAGTGGCTGTTGAAAAGTTAGATGAGCCACCAGCTAGTGTGTCAATTAGCTGCTTTGTCTTGATTCTTAGACCATTAACAAACATCTGCATTTTCTCAGTTTGATCCAAATTGTGAGTAGGACATGCCACTAGGAGTCTTTTGAATCTTTTATAAGCATCTCCTAATGACTCACGCTCTTTATGCTTGAAGTTGAGGATCTCATATCTTTTTCTCATGAATACTGATGCTAGGAAGTACTCATTCAAGAACGCATTTTCCATCTCTTCCCAAGAAGTAATACTACCAGTCGATAATGAATAAAACCACTTTTCAACCTCATCCGCTAAAGTGAACAGAAACATTCTCAACTTCTTCACTTTATTAGTGTGACCATCAATCTTCAAAGTTGTACTCATGGTCAGAAATCTTTGTAAGTGCTTATTAGCGTCTTCATTGACCCTTCCAGAGAAGGACCTCCTCTCGAGATGAGTGATCGTGCTCGGATGTAGTTGAAAATTTAGCACTTTTACCGATTGGTTCACAATTGTCAGTCTACCAGCCAGTGCATTTATTCCGCTATAGTCACCAAGGAGTCTCTCAGATGCTGGTGGATTTTCACTCATAGTTTTGGGTTTTGATTCTGAATCTGAGTGAACTAAATTTTTTCCTTCGTCTGATTCTAGTCTAGCTTGTCGAGCTTTTCTATGCCTGGCGTGAAAAAAAATTTCTATCTCTGCGTCAAAAGTAAATTCAACTGAGGCATTACCTTGCATAAATAGATTAGACAAAAATTAGTAAAAAAACACAATAACAGTAAAATAAAATTTTAGTTGCAAAGCAACAAAATTTCAATTGAACTCTAATTAAACTCTATATTTTGGCAGTTCTTGTCAACGGCGACAAAAACTTGATCGGTAAAATAACAAGTGTACTACTTTGCCTATATAGTAATAAAGAGGAAATTCCCTAAATGTCGATCTCAAGGACTGCGTAGAAATATCGAGTCGAATTATTGTTCAATTAAACAAAAACTAGTGTTTGTATTTGTTTTGTAGAATTCTGAACTGATTGCGAGTAAAGTAAATAAATGCGGTGAAGAGTTTTGACAGGTATTGTTACACCCCAAAAAAATTCCTCCTAATTTCTTTTATCTGGCTTAGACTTTTGCATTCATCTGCTTATATCCTATTAGGTTATTAACATAACATTGAATTCAATAAAGCACCTGAGGTTCAAAGTTCAGTGGTTGTGCGAGCTAGGGTTTTCACAATTTTTTGAGGTGTATATATGTCAAATAAAGCTGATTTCATCTGATTATCCTTCAAGCATTGGATTATGGCATTGAGGTTTTGGTTCATGGTTATTGTGTATTCTTTCTTCATCAAGGGAAGATTGATTAGGGATTTGTGATCATCATCACTTCTACTGCTTCAAGTCTTATCATCTTTAGAGATTTCTCAGGGCATGCCTTTTGTGCTAAGGTCATTGGTCATCAAGCTTTAGGGCTTGTGGTTTGAATTGCAAAACATTGACCCGTGGTACAAAATGTTGAACTTGTGGATCCAGTGTGGTCGAGGCATTATTACTTCTTTCATTTTGCTTGTTTCTTACAATACATGTTTGATATGGATTGAAGAATCTGAGTTGGGAGTAATTAGAATTGATTGATTTAGATCGATTACTTGATGCCCTGAGTTCAAATTATCCGAGAGCATAGGTTGGGAGTAATTAGAATTGATTGATTTAGATTGATTACTTAATGCCCGGAGTTCAAATTATCCGAGAGCATAGGTTTCGAGCATTATGTCTGTATAAGATTCAAGTTAAAATTGAAAGGACTATACATGTGATTTCTTGAAATTTAAGTCATAATTCAACTTCATTATCGTTATGCATTCACTTCAAATTCGAGTATCATTTCCAAATCGAGGATGCAGGGTTGAAATATTCACATATTTGGATCAATCGGAATTTAAAGCTTACCATTTGTTCCATTTTTTAATTCAAATATTACAATGCATTCAAGTTTAGTTTTGATTCCAAGATTAAATTACAATCTTACATCCGAAATCATTTCAATTCCATCGATATAAAAAACCATTTCCGTTACAGATTCCATCCTAAAATTCACAAAAAAGAGTGACAATAATTCTTAAACTTAATCCTAATGTTCTAAATTCATGCAATGACCAATTTCAAGTAGCAACATTGCTCTCGGTAATTTAAACCAAGGCATTTCCCAACTTATCTTATGACGGACCAAACAGGATATGGTCGTATGCGGTGCCGACTTTGTCACTTAACTCAAGTCTCTTGAAGACGCTGCTGCCCCACACGTTGCTTTTCTTCAAAATGGTGTTGATAAGTACTATGCAGAGGTTTACCAACAGACCTTCCCTGCACTGGAAACCTAACAGAAACAATTACCATTCATTAATATATGTCCATCAGTTCGGAAAGAAAATAAGTTCAGAAGCAAAAAAATACAAAAGACCAGCTAACACACTTCACAAAAACAGCTCATTCAAAAATCAGAAGGTAAATAGAAACCTTTGAAACAAAACAGAAAATATAAAGAATGAAGGAAACCGTGAGTTTACAATTAACAGAAGCAGAATTCCAGCTTATAACTAACTACAAATAACTAACTTCATTTAGAATCAATCTCATCCCTCGAATTCTTGTAACAAACTTCAGATTCAAAGATTTAGATTCAATAAACTGTAACTGACTTGTCTATCAGAATAACAAAATATAATAACAGAAAATTACCTTGCATCGATTGATTGTTCAACAATCAGAAGAATCACACAAAGAAAAACTCAGAGAAACAAACTCTCTCGCCTCTGCACTTCATCCTCATTCTCTTCTTCTCTGAGCCTCAACAACCTTCATTCTCTCTCAACTTTCTCCTATCTTCATCATTCTTCATTTCTCGGGAGAATCACCAAAAATTCACAACAAAACTCTCTAATCTCTTGGCTTCTCCTCTCTGAATTCTCGTGGAGTTTCTCTTTAATCTTCAAACATCATCACCAGTTCTTTATCCTCTTCAAGCTTCTTCATGTTTCACTTTCAATCGCAACAATGTAGACATCAGTTTCCGCACCTTCATCATCTTCAACGTTCTTTGTACATAGAGTAATCACATTACCCTATTCACTCCTCAATACTAAATTCATCTTCACTTCTCAGCCTTCCATCGATTCTGCAATCTACTGCTTTATCATCTTCTGCATCATCAACGCACGTATGCTTCATGTATCCTCTGTTTTAACTCTCTGCGAACAAATTGCAAACAACAAAACTTCAAAAATCAGGAGCACGAAAAGAATAAGAAGAAGTTCATATTCAGAAAAGACACGAGAAGAAGGAAAGTGATAGACGGAAGAGGCTTCTGGAAGCAGGTTATTACCTCTGGTTTTCTTGCGGTATCGTTATAGCGACTAGGCACGAGACGCATTCTCCAGTCGGTAAGTCTTTTTCCTTCCTTCTTTCTTAGATTTCGGATCGATTTAAGGGCGACAAATGTAAATCGGTGATGAATCCGTGAGGAAGCAACACTTATGGTAGAAGAGAGAGTGAGAGACGACTTGATATGGTAATGAATGGTGTAGGATGGTGGAGGGAACGTTGTTTGCAGCGGCGTCAGTGTGCTAACCACGGCGGCAGAGATTGATCGGAAGAGATGAGAGAAAGGATTTGGTGTGCGCCGCTGTGGAATTTGAAGGAGGGAGAAGAGCTTTTCAATAAAAGCTGAATAGTCATAAAAAATTTAACCCTAATCCCTCTCAAAACTACATCATTTCATTGGTTGTCCCATTTTTGTTTTCTTTAATTCAATAAATAAATAAAATCAATGCTGAATAATGTTGGACTGTGTTGGATGGGTGGATGGGCCGAATTGCTCCCACTTGAGGCCCATGGCTTGGTTGGTTTTTTGGGAGTTGGATTACTTATACCAAAAAACTGTTAGTGGACTCTAGTTTTTGGGCCTAGCGCCTGATTTCTACAATATACTCTTGGATTACTGGCTTGCACCCCCTAGGCTTATTCTATTTGCAATTTTTTTTTAAATTTTGTGAATTGTTTGGATTTGTTTTTGAACTTTTTCCACATGATAAAAATTGAAAAATCAAATATAAAATTGTTAGATCTCTTTTATTTGATTTTAGGAATTAAATCACGATTATCCGATTACTTGAGATTTTGCAATTCACCTTTGCTTGTTGAGATTTGAGCCTTATGCAGATTTATTGTGTGATATGCAAATATGTTTGAGTTTTCGATCATGATTTATTTTCACATCGATGATGCTTCGACGTTTATTCCAAGCATTTGATTTCTGACTCTTTTTCGTTGCTTGGTGAAGCTTGCTCGAAGTTTTTCGATTTTTCTCTACTATGCTACAAACTCTTGTTCGTTTGGTATTTTCTCTTGTTTATCTCATTTCAGCATCTTTACTGCTTTCTAGATATCATGAGAAGTAGGAAATAAAGAGCATGCACTTGAAGTCGTTGTTTAAAGTCCTGTAGCAGGCACCGCTTTTTGTATGTTATCTTTGTTTATTTAAAATCCTACCTTTGATGTATGTATTCTGCACGTGTGTTTACATTTGTGCCCACATATATCATAGGTGATAAGTCCTCAAAAGAAGGCGAGCGGAAAGGGTCCGTAATCGACCCCCGCACATTCTAGTTCATATTATCCTAAGCTCACATTGTACATCGGTGCTTTGGATTTGTTCAGATCTTGTGTATCGAGTCGGTCATGTGAAAAAGGGTTTGGTCCCAACCCCCGCACTTTGAGGAGTTCGTAATGACCATTATTGATACTTCGCTATCCGCATGTTTGCTTCGGGTGATCCGCTCCCCTTAGCTAAAGCATTTATTTTCTTTTTTATTTCATTTGTCTCCCGCTTGTTTGTTTCGAGTAATCTGCTCCCCTTAGCTAAAGAATTTCTCTTGTTTCCCCCATCCCTTTGAGCCAGTATGTGCTACTCATGTTTGTGAGCTTTTGCCAAAGCACTTGTTTGCTTATTTGTTTTCTATACCATGTTTCCCTTGGAATCACTCGATTAGAGTAGCTTTCGAGCTAGACATTAGGATAGGTATTCATGCATGCTAACATAGGGTAGACATTTACCTTTTAAAACTCAACCATAGGGACGTCATTGTATGATAACATTAGGAATATATTTAGGATAATCTCCATTAGATGTTTTTCTTTCTTTTTCATTCTTGCATTAAGACTAAAACTCTTTTCTCGGCAAATGCACAAAACATTTAACAATTTTCAAATCCTTTTTCAAGGTAAAAAACATCAACCAATGCAAATTATTTTGCGCCTTCGGGCCTTTCTTTCAAACTCTTTCGAAAAGAACATGTTAATTCACTTTTGTGCTGACACGTCAGTATCCAAAGGTCGAGTTGCGGCAGAATGCGAAATTAATATTGTTCATTAAAAAACACAAAACAAATTAAAACATATGAGTCGAACTACGGTAACTCTAATTCTTCAAAAAGGATACGTAGGCATTGGAGTAAGGCCCAAGGGAGCACAACTTTATTTTTCCTACATTATTTTCTCTTTCTTTTGCATGCATTCCCTGTACAGCTTAGATATAGATTAAACACATTCATAAGATAGATAGCAAGAGTGGATACTGTAGAGTACTACGGGTGTGTGGGGTTCTAATACCTTCCCCTCGCGTAACATACTCCCTTACTCGATCTCTCGGTCACAAGACCGTGACTTCTTCCTTCTCATGTTTTGTTGATGTTCATCTTTCCCTTCATGTGGGATAAAAGATGTTCGATGGTGACTTTATTGTTTGATGACTTTCAACTGGTAGTTTCAGGTATGAGTAACATGCTAGAGAAGGTGTGTGATTCTTCCCTGTAACAACTATGAACTATCATTGCAACAATATGATTTCAACATTAAACTACCGGTTCTTAAGTGTGATTTCTCATAAGTCCTTACCGAGCCAACCTTTAATAATTCCTCCTAAGTCCTATGTCCATAGAAACTTACCAACGAAATAAAGTATTACCTTATCAAGAATACTCCGGCTTCTATAGGGTATCTCTAGTCCTAGGCGATATCTACTACATAATATTCTCACAAACACATTATTAATGGCGGTCCAGCCTAATTGCTAATTATCATCATCCCTAATTTGTCCGAGAGGGAAAACGTTAAAAACATCATGAGAATAAATTTACTGAATAAAAATAACATTGTCATTGCAATAATAACTTCAAATACATATCTGAATCAGAGATACCCCCTAGCATTGGGGGGTTTAGCTACTCATAGAACTAAAGAAAAATATGATAAAGAGTGTTGTCATTACAGAAATTGATTGGAAAAGAGATCTTCAATTGCAAAGGCTCATGAAAAGATTCCAAGCATAAATATGAGTTATTCATCCTTCAACAGTGTTCTTCACCGTTAAAAATCGTCCAACCCTTGAGAAATTACACCCCTAACTTTTATAACGTGCACTGGGCTTTTCAGCCAAAATTGGGCCTCCAAACGCGTATTATACTGTATGGCTATGGGCAGCGCACACTCATACGCGAACGGAACGCGTTTATATTTCTTGTATGAACCCATACGCGAATCATACGCATATGGGTAGAATGGATTTTTGCCTGTGTTTTGCTGCTTCTTGTATGGAACGCGTAAGGGCTATCTACGCACCAGGTCATACGCGTATGGTATGCGTATGGGCAGCCTTGAAGATTTTTCTCTGTTTCCTTCATCTGCTCTGATTCGTTTCGTGGTCTTTTGACTTTGTGAACTTGTATTCAAACAACACACTATCAAAAAGCGTAAAAATAGTCACAATAAACTAAAACTCTTAAAACAGAAACTAAATAAAGAATGACTCAAACAATTACTAACTAAAAATAAAATGTTACGATTTTTCTAAATTTTTGACGAATAAGCGATAAAAACTATAACACAAATGATGGCTGATCAATAACACACCTCTTTCAAAATCGAGTTGATTAGTGCTTTAAAAAGTCCAAGAATTATGATTATATACAAGTATTTAAATTAATAGATAGTGATACTTCATGGGTTCATCATATATTACTTTTGTATTTAAGTAGTTATATTTAAAATAATTGATTCTCATATGTCATGCAAATTTGTTTTGTTTGTTAGAATTATTCATTGTTCTTCCTCCTTCCACACGATAAAAGTGTGTGATTAATTTGTGTGCAAGTTTCCTTCACTTGTATGTAAGGATCATACTCACCTCTTTCATCAATTTAAAAATGGGGGCAAGTAGGGATTTGACTGCAAAATGGATGTTAGAGAAAGGAGATGACTTAAAGATCAAACAACCACAATTGAAGAGGAGATATAATCAATTCATCAACTAGCAAGAAAAATAAATTCCTCATTAACAAGGTGGCTTTTCTTGGGCTTTAATCTTTAGTTAGGTTTAGATATTATGAATTAATAACATGCATTTTGCATTTAGAAAAATATTAGAGGTTTTGAGAGTTAGGTTAACGTTAAACCTAGAATAGATAAAT